GTAGAAGAAATGGTGCTGGGTTCCACTTTTCTGAAAGCTGCAGAATATGAACTGGAAAAAGTTTGCCTTGATAAGGTCATATGAGGAAAAATTGAACCTGAAACTATCTAGCAGATCTAATTAGTGGCCAGTTTCCAATAAGTGGTCTTTCTTGACCAAATTGGTAAAAATCTTTGGATTTTTCTAGATCTATTGGAAATCTGGTTTACAGCAGCCAAAGAGACTTCCAGTGAGGCAAGAGTGGAGGTAGGGTAGAAGATAGAACCTTGAGAAATTCTTTAGCAGAAGAGGCAGTTCATTGTCCATGCTGGAAGCTATTGGCATGCTGCAAACCACCCCTGAACTTACAGGAAACTTTATAATTTCCAAAGTCTACTACTGACTGGGTTCACTTGCTCCCTGGCACTACACCGGGTTCCTCTATGCAACTTTGTCAAGGCACAATCCATATCTGCAGAGAAGCATGAGTGGCGGGATCAGTTGTAGAAATAAATTGTGCTGCTTGTGAAAGCTCTAAAGGAGAGAGCTTTGTGAGGAACTACCTAACGCATTTTGAGAAAGAAAAGTACTCAGTACATCATATTTCCTGTAGATCTTTAAGACTTCTACTCTGTTAGTGTGCAAAGCGGTTCTGGACATCTGGGCTGATACTGGACATAAATTCAGGTATAGGAAAGCCAGCCCTTGGTCAGCACTGGAAATTGTCCTTACTTAAACTGGCCATTTGGCAAGATTTCTTTCCTTGGAGCAAATATTTCACAGTTTCAGTGTGGAGAATTCTCTAATTTAAACAAGTCATCACATGGGAAAAATAGCTCTTGCAAGTCTTCCTTATTGGCAGTCCATCTCTCAGTTCTGAGTAACCTTCATTTCTTCCTGCATATGTGCATCAGACATTTGTTGGATGTTGCCATTGCCAGGTTTGGGATAAGGCTGGGGAAGAGGCTAAAGAGCATGGCCTGTGGCTGCTCAGAGTTTACAGCTGCTTAGAGGCAAACTGGAGAACCCCTCATGCACAGCAGTGTGATGCCTGCTCAAGGCGTGGCCAGAGCCATGCCAGTCCAGAAGAGGGCCTCTGCACAAAGTGTTGTGTGTGTGTGTGTGTGTGTGTGTGTGTGTGTGTGTGTGCACGTACAGAGAACTAGGAGTGTACCAGGAAGCTCACCAGAATGATTGGTACCTCACCTGCTCTGAAGGATGGGAAGACTTGCTTTTCAGGATTTTTGAGATAAAAACAGTATGTTTTTGCTTCCTAGAATTGCTTAGCAGAAACATTTCTGTCAAAACTGGGACAGCTTTATCAGAGCTCAACAGGATCATCCCTGATAAATGGAGCTTTCTCTTCCCACTCTGTCCCAACAAGGCCTGGCTCAAATTCTTCAATTTCTGCTGAGCTTCTGGCACTGTCAGCAATAGAACTCATGTCTCTCTCCTTGGGAATTATTTGAAACTTGATAATGATGTTTGCATGTGTTCATCTTACATAATGCACAAGTAGATCAGCTATTTTACAGGGGCAAGAGTCTTTTTCACTATTTGAAGAAGGGTAGAGTAGAACCTCTCCATAAAGCCTCATGTATTGATGTTCCTGGTTGATCTGGTAGAAACAGAAAGACTTAGCTGGATCTAGGCTCTTTGTTTACTATGAGAATTTGGGAAAAGTACCCAGTGTACTTGAGCATAAGGTTCTTCATTTATACAATGCCACATGGTAGTATAAGCTTATCTTAGAATCATGATGTGTTTAGCACAGGACCTGAAGTTTGCCAAGCCTTTAATGTAGGTTTTGTTGAAAAAGTTAAAAGTGATACATACCTGAGTAACTCACTTAGAAAACTGAAAATAACTTGGTGGGCTTATGTCCTTTACAAAATAAATAAATTGTTGTCTTATTTAGCTTGGGCTGTTGTAACAAAATGTCATAGATTTGGCTTCTTAAACAGCAGAAATTGATTTCACATTTATAGAGATTAGGAGTTCAAGATCAGAATGCAGGCAGATTTTGTGTTTGTGAGCACCCTCTTCCTGGTTTGCAGAGGGTTACCTTTTTGCTGTGTTCTCTCACACACACACATAGACAGGGGAGAGGCAGAGGGAGAGGGAGATTCTGGTATTTCTTCTTTCTGTAAGGACATTAATCCCAAGGCAATGTCCCCACTCTTATTTAAGCCTAATAACTTCCCAAGATCCCACTACTGTGTAGAGCATTAGAGATCAATGGATGAATTTGGGTGAGACACAAGCATTCATACCATACCCACTCTCTTTCTCAATATTGAGGGAATAAAAGGTTGAAGCAGAGGAGAGAAAGGGAGAAATGAGAAAAGAAAGAAAGAGCTAAGGGAAACAGAAACTACCTTTTGCTTTCTGCTAACTTCTCATCTGTGTTAGCCTCCTGCTAGTCCCTGAGTACCTGAGAGGACAGGGAAGTCTTAGGTGTAGACCAGAAGATGCAGCCTGGGGCTCAGGCCCTGCTTTGAGGAAAGGGCTGCATACTGGCTGGTCTCCACCAGTTGCAGCCAGGCAGAGTCCCTTTGAAGAGACCAGAACCCAGGAGAGGGCTGTCCAGCCTGGGCGGGTCCAGTGTGTGGAGGGGGATAGGGTGATAGCTGTTGCCCCAGTTTCTGAGCTCAGTGAAGAACTAGAGGACTGAGCAAAGGTCACACCTAATCCACGTTGATAAGATTCCTGTTGATCCAGTCTGCCAGTGCCTCTTTCAGAAATAAGAGCCCACCTGGTTGGCTGCACAAATTACACAGAGAGATTTCAGAGTAGATAGTGGTTTTAAAACATTCCCATGAGCTTCAGGAAAAGAATGAGCAGCTGATAGTGGAATACAGATTGGTGGGGAAAGTAAGAAACCATTGATTAAATCTTTGGATACTTCTTAGTGAGTTTATACTTCTCCATGCAAAATGAAAAGGAAAATAGAAAATATTGTTCTACCATAGACAAGGTTAACCATCTGCCCATTTATAAATATCCAAGTGGCTTCCTTGCAATGTTTACATAGTCCTAATTATTTTTCAGAAGTGTTATATCAAAGTACAGTTTTATTCTTTTTTAGCAAACTTCACAATAGAATTTGGGCTTATTTAGACCATGATAAAACCATTCCTTCCTTTCTCCTACCTTCCCTCCTTCCCTCCCTTCCTTCCTGCCTCCCTTCCTCCCTTTCTTCCTTTCTTCCTTCCTCTCTTGTCAGTATTACTGAATATGTTTTAACTTCACATAGACAGTGGAATGTAGGATCCAGGAAAGGTCATAGAGCAAATCAGTGTAACCTAGTCCACAAGGTAAAGAGCGCTGGAGATGGGGGAGGATACACTTGTAGTTGTCGCAGTGGAGCCTACTGAGACAGGGGCTTGTTCTAGATGCTAAGTGAGGGGGAATTACCGAGCGGCTCAGCTCAGGACGGGAGGGAACTTGCCAACAGGAAAAGATGCCTACAGGCTGGTGAGCACCTGTAACAGAAGATGGCTCCCCAGCCAGTATATTTCAGTTGCTTAGTTGCCCAGGTAATAGTTCTGTTCCAGTTCCAATTGTTTCTGTCGCTTTGAAATGGCTGGTCACTGTGATGCACATTGTATACACCAATCCCCAGTTCACAAGCCATTCTGCCTCTGTACTTCCTGCTCGCTTATCCCATATAAGCCCTAGACCACCAGAGATCAGGGCCTAAGATTCTGGGAATGATCTCGATCAGTGCCCATTGATATAAATAAATCTGCCTCCAAACCCTGGGTGTCTTTTTGTGTTTCTGTTTGCTGTTGCACATCCATTGCCCCATCAGAGGTGTTCAGGTCAAGGTTGGTGGACATAACAGAAATTAAGAAGGGAATGTGAATTTTGCCAGTTGGCTCCTGTGTCTGCCCATACCAGAACTGCAAGGTGCTCATGAGGCAGACACAGGAGGTGTGGATGGTTGTATTCTTGAGAGAATCTTCCAAAAACTAGTCATGACCTTTCCATCAGCTGTCCAGGTGTCTCTCCTCTTCCACTCTCCCAATCAGTTGGATCATCTCTGTCCAACTCCCTAAAGTATTCTGAGCCCACTGCAGCTTTTCAGACTTGACCGCCACTTGGAGGAAACATTTCCAAGTGGGTGAAGTAGCAGTTTATTCCATTTTGGTTTTCAATAACCACCTTACCACTTTCAAGTTAGGACCTGCTCCATAACTCAGTATTGTGGAATTTTGAGAATGATTCTATGCAGCTTCTTTCATTTATTTCCCACTGTCATTCTACAGCTTCTTCTGGATTTTGCCTCCCCAGCCATGATCCTCACATATCAAACCTTCACATGAAACCAGTTACTTGCCTTGATCACTTACCCTTTTTCTTTGGACCACTTGAAACTCTTTTTTGCTTTCTTAAGGCAGGGAGCTCTGGACCTTTACACTTTTCTAGCTTATCTATTCTCTAGTTTCATACATGGTTCCCTCTGTGGAAGATGCAAGAGGCAGTGTGTTACACATGAAAAATGCATTAATCCAGGGTAGAGAGATCCCTGGGCATCTGAATGGGCAATGTGATTCAGTGGGCTCTGTGACTTTAGGGAAGTTATTTAACCAGCCATTTTGTGGATCAGTTTCTACTTTTGAAATATGCATTTCAAACACTCATGAGGACAAATGGGTTGGCATTTAAAAGCCTGGTTTACTGCTTTGCTCAAAGTAGGCACTGAATACCTTGAAGAAGAAAGTGGAAGCTCCCATCATATTTAAAATATCTTTTTAAAAGTGGGAGATATATTTATCAAAACAGGTCATGATTATTTTTAAAGAACTACTTTTTGAACTTTTGGTTCAAGTTTAAATTATTTTGCTCATATTCATTTAAGTTGATCTCTTCTATTTCAGTTATGTATGTAAGAACAGTGCGCGCTTCCATTATGAAACGTAAATTATACTTTCAACCTTGCATTGTTACAAACTTAAAGGTACAGTGTGTAACAGATATATAAAGAATTAGCCCACTGTCTTCTGCTTCATGTCCAGACAGTCTTGGCACCTCCAAGAAGCAGGAGCTTCAGAGAGAGAAGTGGGAGAGGAGCCACAACTTACCAAGCAGAAGCCTTTCTCGGCGTTCCATCAGCAAGGAGAGATGGGTGGAGACACTGGTGGTGGCTGACACGAAGATGATGGAGTATCATGGGAGTGAGAACGTGGAGTCCTACATCCTCACCATCATGAACATGGTGTGTCAGGCTTCAGGGGAGGGAGGGATGACTGGTCAACAGTTATTAGAAATGTCCTCCTTCCCGTAGATGTGGGTCTATTCCCTAAGTGAATGAGGATGGAAACTGAGGACAAATTAGTCTTTCCCTAAAACATGTGTACATGGGAAAAATGTAATTGATATTTGCATAATTCTATTTGGCATGTACCAAGTGATTCAGTCCTTTTAGTATGACTTTGTCTCGGTGATTATTTATGTTGGTATATAAATAATGATCTGAGACAAAAAGGGCTAGAACAGGATTTCCTCAAGGTAGCGTGAGAATTGGAATGAAGTTATACTGCAATTCTTAATTTTAAGTTTCTTTACACTATTGATGTGTTTTTTCTTTTGTTTTTTTTTTTTTTGTTTTTTTTTCCCGGTACCGGGAACTGAACTTATGACCTTGCGCTTGCCAAGCAGGTGCTGTGCCGCTGAGCTAAATCCCCAGCCCCAATATTGATGTGTTTTGTCTTCCCAGAGAAGGCATCTATCCTGCTGAAATGGGGAAAAGTATTCACTAGAGTGACTGAAAATAAAAGAGGGGGAAGCCCTGAGTTAGGGAAAAGGTCAAAGAAAGGCATGAATCCCTCACACACACAGCCAATCAGTCATCTTGAAGGATTATTTTTAAATAAATATCATAGATGAGATTGAGCTATGGGCATACCTTACACTTCTCTGCACTATGCCAAGAATTCCCGACCTGTTTATTTAAGTGATTACGGTGCTGTTTTTCCCCTCTGGCATGGATATATATTTTTTGTTCATGCGGGTTTAATGGTTTTCCATTTCTGATCCCAGGTCACTGGGTTGTTTCATAACCCAAGCATTGGAAATGCAATTCACATTGTTGTGGTTCGGCTCATTCTCCTTGAAGAAGAAGAGGTAAGGAAGCGTTTCCCCTCCACTCTTTTGCCTTATATCCTCACATTTCCTACCTCTTTTTTTTCCTAAAAGAACTCTTGAAAACCAAGGAAGAGGTTTCCAGATAAGTGTTTGGAAGCCCAAAGAGAAGAAAAGTATTTATGTGTTATTTTTTGAGAGTTCAACAAAAGTGAATTGAAAATGGAGAATATTTCCAAATTATACACAGTTGGAATCACCTGTCATGACACATAATAACGTGAAAATAAGAATCACCATCGTGGAAGTACACTAACTCATTATATGGGTAAATGGTTTCAGTAAAAAGAAACATAGAAATGTTGAACATTTTGTACTATTAATTTGCCTGTGACATATTAGCGTATGTTTCTTAGGCTTGGGTCCTCTTGGCTGCACTTTTGCCTTTGGAGACTTCCTCTATTCTCAGAAATTGACATATTCACACGCTGAGACTTCTGGATGAACCTGCAGTCTGGATCTCTTCCTTGAGTTCCTGACTCATATCCAGCTACTTACTTGATGCCTAGATGTATTATAGTCTGCGTGATCTGGAAAGTTTAATAAGTCCAGAATGGAATTTTTGATTGCTTCCTGCCCAAATCATCTCAATTCTTCCTCCTTTCACTCCCTGAACGATTTCTTCATTCATCTCAACAAACTGTGCTACTATGTATCACCAGTTAAATTACCCAGGAGTCATTTTTCGTTTCTTTCTTCACATCTTTCCAGTCCAACAGCAAAGCTCCTGCCTCCGAAGTGCTTCTCAAAAAGATCCACTGTTCATCGTCTCTACAATCATCACATTGGGTTAGGCCTTTGCAGATCTTGTCTGAGCTATTGCAGTGAACTCCCAAGTGGTTTCCCCCTTTTCAGCCTGGCTTCCATACTGCACTGTCCATGAAAGATCATTTAGCTACAGCCGTAATTGATCATCTAAAATAAATAATTGAGTTGCTCAACTGCAGCAAACAAACAAACAAACAACCTTTAATGGGTTTCTGTTTGCTTTGGAACAAATTCAGAATTTCTTTCTGCACACTTTCTCAATTTTGCCTCCATCACCCACCCAGTGGTTCCTTACGTTACACTCTCCCTTATTGCCTTCCTTCATGCTCTCTGGACTTCTTATAGATTCCAGAACATGAGACACTTCTCAGCCTCATGATCTGTGCATTACTGGTTCCCAGCACCTGAAATATCCCTCTGCATGGATGGCACCTTCACATCCCTCAGTCCTTAGATTAAACATTGCTTTGTCTTTAGAGAGGTCAAAGTGAACAAACCCCTCAAAGCCAGCCTCTTGCTATTTTCTATCACAGAATGATACTCTCAAAATCCATTATTATTACATGTATTTATTTGCTCTTTTCTTGCTTATCTCAGCCAAGGCTAGATAGAGTGTGAATTCTATGCGTACAGAAAATGTTTCTTTATTCTGTTATATCCCCCACATCTAACAGAGTGCCTGAGATGTGAATAAGTGAATAACATGAAATGCAATGAAAGAAGGAGCCAGCTAACCTGATGAAATGCATTTGCAATCTATAGAGCTTAATCATCAGGTGATATATGCAAAGAGACATATGTGAAGGAGAGCACCATTTAGCTCTCTATCAGGAAGACTTGTGGTCAAAATGCCAAGTGTTATGGTTTGTGTCTGGATGTTCTCGCAAAGCTTCATGCAGTCATGGGGCTTTTTTTCAGAAGTACCTGAATCTAGACCGTGTGCTTGATTTGTAGTGCAATGCTGGGATTAAGGGTACTGGGATTAAGGGTGGGTAATTGATTGCTGGATAAGTCCACTGATTGGATTGGCATTGCCCTAATCCCAGTATCCTGCATAACTTTATAAGGGACAGAAAGAGGCTTGTCTCTCTTTCCCTCACTCATTGCTTTTGCTATTTTCCACCATGAACTGTTGCCTCTCTGCCATGTGCCACCCTGCCTTGGAGACAACAATTGGAGACTTCCTCTATTCTCAGAAATTTACATGCTCACATGCTGAGATTATGGACTAAAACCTCTAATTAAGGACTAAAACCTCTACAAACTGTGAGCTAAATAAACCTTTAACTCTGGGTGTCAGGTATTTTGTCTCATCAATGAGAAAAGCAATTAAGACGGCCAGGCAGGATTTACAGTTTACTTAACAGGAGAAATCTTCTCAATAAGACACTAATTTAAGAACATTCTCTAGAGCTTGGATCCATTTTTCCTTCTTTCCCCATCAGTACTTTTTCCCTTTGTCACCCAAGACGTGTGTTTTGGGTATCTTGGAATACCAGTGGGAATGTCATTTTTCTTCTTGTGATCCTTTTGTTAGGAAAAACTTTCCAAAATTTGGAAACCAGCCAAATAAAAATTAGGTATCTTTTAATCACTATCTGACTCTGTGATAATGTAACTTTGATTATTACTTGTTATTTCATCCAAGATGTGATAAAGTTAGATGTTAACTGGTAGAAAACTGAGAGGCTGTGTAGACTGTTTTTGTCTAGTAGAGATAAAAATGATTTATGTCCAACAAAGAATATAACCTTATGCCTGTGGTTTTATTGGCTAGGAGAACTAAAACTAATTTTGCAATTTTATTCCAGCATATTTTCCCACTGCTTATATATATATTAGCCAGCATTCCATTTGCTAAACACAACGTCTGACTCACAATTTAAAGGAAAAAATGTTTAATTTAGTTCACAGTTTGGGGAGATTCAGTCCATAAGTGTCTCCAGTGCAAGAACATCATAGTGGAAATGTGTGATAGGGGAGAGCTGCTTAGTGGCACCTGGGGAACAGAGCAGGGGAACAGTCCCTGAGAAAAACAGGCTAGAGATCACAGTGTACCAAGGTCACACTTCCATGACCCACCCGGACACACCTAGGAAGATGCTTTACTAAGCTACTAGACAGCCCTTAATCCAATGGTGTTGACAAATTAATAGTCACATCATTGTTGCCTTAATTTTTTTACCTGTCATTGTATAGGTTTTGCCATCTTGCTTGTCTTCTCACCTATGAATTAAATGTCTTTAACATGTGACCACTATATATTCATATAAAAATTATATTTTTAACTTTTCAAAAATTATACTTTGCTAACTTTGAGTACACATTTTTCAGTCTTTCCCAATGGCTGAGCATATGTGCATGCTTAGATACAGATGTGTGGAAAGATTTAACATTATTAGACCAAAAATATGAAAGTTCTTCCACATATAAGAAGGAAAAAACATTGCCCTTGAAGTCCAACAGCACCCCTGGCAGGACTTCAGATGTGGTTTTCACGGATGAGGCTGTGTGGAATTTCACATCTCTCATTCTCTAGAAACAGTACCATCAGGACACATTAACTCTGGCTTGCTGCCAGTGAGGTTGTTCAGAAAAATATGATTGCCACTACCTCCCTGAATCAGTCGCAATTACATTGTTTTGCTTCTCCACCTGATTCTGCAGTCTCAGAGAGACACAAATGATTTGCTGTAGCATGGCTTTCTACCTCTCCCTTGCCAAACATTATTCTTATTGAAGCTTTTATACTCTCCAGGTAGGAAAAGATTCACAAGTTGACAGCAGAATATCATTCACAGTCTCCTTTTCCTGATTCATAGAAAATAGTTTAAGCTATCTTCACATCTCTGACTAATGAGCATCTCAAGCAACTGTGAGAAGCAATGATGGCAGCCCTTAACTAATATCAGGGTGGCAGACAGGCATAGTCAGGAAGTACGGAGTAATGTACTAGACTGTGACTACTTTGAGCAGAGACCTGGGTTCTCATTTTAACTCTGCCATCATCCAGTAGGCCGGGGTGAGAAAGTTACTTCACTGCCCCATGCCCCATCAGCCATCTGTCAAATAGTATGTGTGTTGATTTCAGGTTTGTTGCAAGAAGAAAAAAATATAACACAGGACACATATTTTATAAGATTATTTATAATAGTCACCCAAAGAATCATATACAAGAGAGTGCAGGAAATCTGTTCACATGCTAAAGACCAGAGAATCCAGCTGAGGGCCTGGATCCCACAGAAATGTCCTGCATCAGTTCAGATGAAGACCTACAGCCCATAACAATGCCTCCTGCGAATCCAGCTGGAGGCCTAGAGACACCACAATGTCTTATGCAGGCCTGTTTCACAGTTCTGTGCTGGGAAGGCCCAAAGTTCAGTGGTGGAATCCAGGAAGTCTATGCCAGCAGGATGAAGGATCTGTGTTAGCAGGCTGAGGGATATGCACTGGAGCCAGGAAGCAATGCTCAAAGTAAAAACCAGAGCTCCCCTGAAAAGTACCACAGCCATCTTCAGTAACAGTGAGGTTTCACACTCCTCTGATGATCAGGATAGCCAAGTTCCCATCAGGAAAGCCAACGTGACAAGCTTCTCCAGAAGACTGAGCAGTGCACCATCTTCCCCTCCAGAGCCAGGAATTGATGCTCAAAGTGAGGATCAGAGCTCCGCCAAACTGCACCAAAGCTATTTTCAGTGCCAACAAGTCCTGAGCTCCTCAGAGGATGAAAACAGCTGAGTTCACCAGGAAAGCCAGTGTGACAAGCTCCTCCCAAAGAACCAACACCTCCTTACAGCTTCTACAGGTTCCCAACAGCCTTTCTTCTTCCTCTCCAGTTCTGTCTCTTATGCTGCTGGCAACACTCCTCAAGTGGGCCTCCCACCCCGAGAACCATGTTACTCAGTTCAGTGGGGGGTTATAAATTGACAACAAGTGGTCAATCCACTACACTATGCCAGCCACTGGCATACATTCATACAAAGATGAATGTAAATCTTATTTTCTGGGTCCTAGAAACTTCTAAACTAATGGGCAGTAACACCCAAATTTAAAAAAAAAAAAATCTGAAATTGCTATGGAAGGCGTTTTAGATGTCTAAGCTAGGATTCAGAGGATAAGAAGGAATTAGATGATGTAGAAGGACATTCCAAGTAACGGGACTCACAGAAGCACTGGCTCTAGTGTGTAAGCTAGCACTTTGCAAGGAGAGACAT